AGGAAGGAAGGAAGGAAGGAAGGAAGGAAGGAAGGAAGGAAGGAAAGAAAATTGTCTTAGGAAAATCTTTGGTATGGAGGAAGGCTGATTTTAATGAACACAGAGTTCGTAGGGGAAACACCACAGTGGAAACAAATTCAAAGCCTTCCATGGGGGCAGCTTGGAAAGCCCTCTAAGGGCTCAATGCAGAAGACCTTTTTTGGGACAGGCCCCAAATCCTATAGTTAGGCTTCCTTGCCAAGGGTTCCTGCAGGCTATGTTTGGTCTTAGTGTGTGACTGAGACCATGAATCAGCTATGTTATGTTAGCTTGTAGTCAAAGTCAGATACATATATAATCAAGGTCATAAACATTTGCTTGTAAGCATGTGTCCAGTTTTGTAACCTGTTGACAGTGTGCCTTCTTTGTTTGGCCTGCACATAAAAAAGGTTGATGGAAATGTCTCACAGGCTGGCTAAGATCTATTGTCACATCCAAATAAAAGATGACCAATATTCCCATAATGATTCACATCTTCTTTCAACTGCCCAATCCCTGGAATCCCAAAACCTTGCTCCCCAAGCCTGAGCCTCACCCTCAGTCTCACAGCCTTCCACAGGCACATTAGGGAAAGCTCTCTGCAGTGTGGAAGACAATGGCAAGTGAGGAAAACACTCCCGGGTGCTGAAAGCTGTCCTCCATGCAGCTTACACAGCTACAAACAGAGGCAGGATTGGGAACTCATAAAGAAAGTTACCAGCATCAAGCAGAATAAAATAAACATGATTATTGCTGTATGTATATAGGTGACTGTATGACCAATCTGATTCTGCAACCTGTACAATCAGAAAAATGAGAAATTATACCCCATTTGATTCAAATGTAAAATATAAAATAATATCAATTAAATAAAAAAGGAAGTTACCAGAATTCAATAAAAAAAAATTCCCAAAGTGTTTCTGAACCAAAGAGACTGAAATAAGTGCAAATAATATTTTACCTAGACAATTCAACCTCTGGATCCCAGAGGAGAAAAATCCCATAATTGCTTGCCTCTTGTAAGAGCTATTGCAAAGTCTCTGGCTGCACCCACACAAGCACATTTGCATTCCAGGGCATGTATATACACAATGCAATGAAGAGTTCATTCTTTGAAAAGATAAGTAAAATTGGTAAACCTTTGGCCAAAATAACCAAAAAAAGAGAAGGTCCAAATCAATAAAATTGAAGATGAAAAAAGTGATATTACCACAGACCCTTCTGAAATCTAGAGGATCATCAGAAACTATTTTGAAAATTGATACTCCAATCAACTGGAAAATTTAGAAGATATTGGCAAATTTCTGAACACATGTGACCTGCTCAAATTTAACCAAGAAGATATAGAAAACTTAAATAAAACAATTGCAAGTAAAGGGCTTTTCACTGAAATACCAATTAAAAGGCTTCCAACAGAGAAAATCCTAGAACCAGATAGATTCTCAGCTAAGTTCTACCAGACCTTTAAAGAACTAAGACCAGTCTGTCCGAAGTTATTCCATAAAAGTGAAAGGAAGGGAATACTACCAAATACGTTCTGTGAAGTCAAAAAATGAGTAGAGATTATTATTGAAATAATGAAGATATAAAGGTCAAAAAGTCTATATATTGACATATTGACCTTGCTACATGCAATATAGATGTATATTTCTATATTACATGTAGTAATCATATATCCAAGCCTAATCTGCCTGTATAGCCCTAAAAAAAAATTAGAAAGTTTTGCACTGGGCTTCACTAGTGAGAAAAGGAGACAGAAACTTCTATAGAGATTCTGCAAGTAAAAGAAATGACCTTCTAGGATTGGAGCGCACATAGTTCAAGACACAGAACAGACACAGTGAGATGTATGTTCTGAGAACACTAGACTCTAAAGAAACTATGCCTGATTCAGGTTGCCCTACCTTGGGTTTTGGTTAAAGGAATCAATAAATTGCTATTTCTTCAGATAAGGTGTTTTTAAAAAAATGCAGGGGATGAAAAGAATGTGAAGTATTTTTTATAATTGTACATGTTGACAAGGCCACAATATAATAGGAGATGCAAGAGCACACACCATCTAGAAGGCAACACATAAAACACACAGTTTTTCTAGGGGAAAAAATATCAATTTCATTTATTTAACTGGCAGGGGATTAAACATAATTGCTATTTTAGGTAATTAGTTTCACAGAAAACTGTACTCAGGAATAGAGTGCTAAGCAAGTTCATCAATAGATCCAAAAATATAAGTTTTGAAAGAACTCAATAATCTTTATAAATATGATACAGAATCATTAAATGATTTTAAAATATTAATAGATTTATATATTTAACCATCACAATAAAATGAAATTTGCTTTTAAGTATTACTTTTAAACTACATAGAATTAGTCACTTAAAATTTCTCAGGAAAATATGTCTCCATATTTAACAATAATATTTTAAGATATAGATTGTTTTCTGTATTGATAGGCAACTACAAAAGGGAGAATTTGAAAAATACATTGCTCAACAAATATTTAGGAAGGTATAAATGTATTTTAAGCTGAGAATTTATACAGGCTGAGTCTTAAAAGAATGTTAAATTCAAAGAGTATAAAATGTATGTATCTAGAAACAAAAGATTACATTTATCTTAGACTTCATAAGGTAATGATTTCAGTTTTATCTTTGAGTTTGGATTTAAAACAACCAACAATTTGGAATCTTCTCTTAAAGTGCTCATTATTAGCCTTTGGTGGTCATAATAATTTATAACTGAGACAAGCATACCTAGTTAAAGAATTTATTCATTCATTGAGCAAGATGTATTAAGTTCATACAATGTTCAATAAAAAGCACAATACATTGCAATTTATTTTTTTAATTGTAAAACAGAAAGAATAAGGAAAGTTTTCTGAGCAATATTTATTTCTTCATCACTTTTCTCAGTGCACCTAAAACTTCCTTGTTTCTCAGGCTATAAATGAAAGGATTTAGCAGGGGAATTATAATGGTGTAGAACAGTGAATACATTTTATTTTGATATTTATCTGGACCTGACCCAGGGCGCACATACATGAAGAAGAGAGTGCCATAGAACAAAGATACAGAGAGCAGATGGGCCCCACAGGTAGAGAAGGCTTTGCTTCTTCCCCTCTCAGACTTCTTTTTCAGGATGGCAAAGAGGACACGGGCATAAGAGACTATGATACTCAGAAGTGAAAACTCTTGTATGGAAGTGGCAAATATAAAAGTCACTAATGCATTAATAGATGGGTCAGTGCAAGAAATTGTAAACAGTGGCAAGATTTCACAGTAGAAATGGTCTATTATGTTGGACCTACAGAAAGTCAATCTATGTAATAATCCTACATGAATTATGGGGTGCAGAAAACCAATTACATATGACATACTTATCAGCCAAGTGCAGAGTCTGTTCGACATCACCACTGGGTAAAGCAAGGGATTGCATATTGCTACATAGCGATCATAGGCCATCACTGACAGGAGAAAAATTTCTGTGGTTGCACTGTTACAAAAAAAATAATACTGGATGAAGCACTCAACCAAGGATATCTTATGATTCTTAGATAAAATGTTGATAAGCATCTTGGGGGTCACAGAGGATGAAGTACACGCATCAGCCATGGCTAAACTACTGAGGAATAAGTACATAGGGGTGTGAAGGTGGGGGTCCTTCCAGATGAGAGCAATCAGGCCAAGGTTGCCCACCATGGTGATGAGGTAGATCACAAGGAACACCAGGAACAGGGGCACCTGCAGCCCTGGATGGTCTGTAAGTCCCGTGAGAACAAACTCAGTCACCTGTGTCTCATTTGTCTCCATCATATCTACTCAGTCTAATCACTGCAATGAGAGAGGTTAAAAACATTAATCAAGCCTTACAAAATGATCTTGAGTGCAAATGGAATTACTTTGTTTCCATTGTAATTTGCTCATGAAAATGAATATAATGAAATATAAAGTTTCAATGCTTCTTTTAAGAGCACATGAAAGCTTTTATGTACTTTATAAATAACTTTTGAAATAAGGTGTTTTAAATGCATATAGTTACTTAAACAATTGTGAAAGAGGCTGTAAACACTAAAGGATTTGGTCTGACAACTTATCATTCATAAATACCTTAAAATTGAATATATTAACAATTGAAATGTTTTATGCAATTAAGAATAAAACCAAATTTTTTATTTTATGATAAAGTCTGTGAAAACATAACTCTGGTTCAGGATCCACAGGGCTTTATCTCTTTCCAGAAACTCTTTCATGTCTTCCTATTAAACAACACAAAGGTTTTGTTTTGGGGGTTTTATTAATACATTTCATACTTTCTTCAAAAACATTAATGGGCTGCAAATAAGAGAGTAATTCAAATTCCTTTTTTCTACTGTTTTCTGTTAACTTTATGTTACTTAATTTTATATACATGTATATGCATATGATTATATATATATATATATATATATCAAAATCATCCAAAAGTTAATCAGTATGTTATTATAAATATCTCAAAACTTGCCATATTTCTATTATACTCTTTTTCATAGTTTTCTGCTAATATTTTTCATATGTGAACGCCATAATTCATTTATTTGTTCAACAAATGTATTTATAGTAGCTCTTAAGTTGGAGCTTGTCATCTTAGCTTGGGTGCACATAGACCTGTACCTCTGGTGTTAACCGGATGATGCTAAAAGAAGCCTTGTTCCCCACAACTGCCTTGTCCAGGCATCCTATAAAGAAATTCTGGAGCCCACAGCAGCGGGAAGGGGTCTTGGATTCATGTATTATTCTGTCACTATTATTCTGAAAAAAAAAAAGTTTAACCAAATTTTAGAAGTTTCTCAGTCTTGATTCCAACCTGGCTTTAAGGTTTACATCTATAGTTCTTCAGATTTTTCCAAGGTAAATTTCCACCCACACAGTCTGTGAAGCATGATTCTTCATTGCTATTCAGTAGACAACAGAGAAAAATTGGTAAAACGTACAGACTCAAAAATTCAATCACAAGTTCTAATTTTCATTCCTTAAATATGTACCTGTTTATGAGAAAATCTTGGTACTGAAATGATTTTTTTATGATTTTTTCTCTACATTTTTTTATGTAGAGAAAAATAACAATGAAATAAAGCAGTGCATCTCACCTAATTTCTATGAGATGTATGGATGTCATAAGATTTAAATTTTCATGAAGAACAATTAAGGTACAAGAACAAAGATATCAAAGACAATTGTTCCTACTTTGTTACTTTATTTCAGAAATGACACTTGTGTGGTCTGATATTTATTTCTTTCTATCGTCAACCGTGTTTGTGATTTTAACGCAGAAATCCCTCAATGCCACCAAAAGATTCCCTGTAGGATAAGGTCAATCTATCTGACATTGTAGAATAATCAACAAACGACTTCTGAGATACACATTACCCATTTCCAAATATAGCTTTTACAGCTGTATTTCTCTCTTCTGAAAACAAAGGCATTGCAGATTAATTGTAGATAAAATCGAAAATTAGAAAAGCAAAAAGAAAGCAAAATGCTATAATCTCACTAATCACCAATAAATACAGTTAATTTTTGAGTGTATATATATTTTTACCCATGAATGTATTTGTGTTGATGTAAATTTACATATACTTTTCAAAACAATGAGACTTCTGTAGATAATTTTTCACAACTATTTTAAGTTACTAATATAGAATTTATATATTTATGTCATTAGTTTTTAAAACGTGCTTTTCATCTTATAATTTTTTCAAAAAAAATCTGTAATTCTAAAGTCCTAAAATTGAAACTAAAATGTCCAGGTAGGTGCACAATTAAAGAATATTTTGTTCTGCAATATTCCCTCTTGGAAAATGGTACCAATTTACATAGCATATTTCTCAAAATTTACACTAACAAAAATAATTAATATGCACACACTTGTGCATGGGGGCATGGAAAGAGAAATCTATATATCTACACATATACAGATATCTCTATATCTGTGTATACAATTCAGCTTGGTAAGAAATACCACTTCTTTTTCAAAGCAGCCAACTTTTACTGAGTGGTATAAAAAAATGGCATAATGTATGAAAATCCATAATTTTATCATTGGGGAAGGCTTGCTCAAGTATTAGTTTTCACAACTTACTATATAAATTTGATGCAATTTCAAACAAAATGATAAGGTGATAATTCACTAAAAAATATATAAATTTATCTGAAAGAGCAGATGGATTCAAAAGCAGCCAAATGATTTCTTAGAAATAAAAGGATCATTTGTTCCATGCAAGACACTGCGCCATATCGCAAAGCCAGCTTTAATGATTACAACTGCGCTTTATCTCAAAGAACACTACAGCTATAAATTCATTAATATTTGATTGTCTGTTTCTAGACATTGCAAAGTTGAGTAAAACTATAGACTTTGGAATGGACAGGCTTGAGGGCTTTGCTTTAAAAATTAGGAAATAACTTTAATTCTCTAAAACTTGCTTTTCTGATTTGTGGAATAAATAATAATAAGTTAATAGTGTACACTTTCAAGGCTGTTGCAAGAGTCACATGAAAAGATGAATGTCCAGCCCTTATCACTTACTTGACAGATGACAAGGGTCATAAAAGGGGTGAATTTAATTACTCTTTTAGTTATTTTAGATATTCATAAGGAAATCTGCTAAGCTCCGTGTAAGAAAATAGAATATTAAGTGAGGAAAATTGACAAAAGTGCATTTCTACTGCCAATTCATGACAATAGTGATTGAACCCTATCATAAATGACTTATGTCCAGCTGATAGTGACTTAGGTGTATCATATTGTTCCACCTTCCAGAAGAAAAAAAAAACTACATATACAGTGTTTTTAAAATAAGCATTTTTATATTTTAATAAAAATTACATTGTTTTTTTTTAGTTTTTTTTTTAAAGAGAGAGTGAGAGAGGAGAGAGAGAGAGAGAGAAATTTTAATATTTATTTTTTAGTTCTCGGCGGACACAACATCTTTGTTGGTATGTGGTGCTGAGGATCGAACCCGGGTTGCACGCATGCCAGGCGAGCGTGCTACCGCTTGAGCCACATCCCCAGCCCTAAAAATTACATTGTGCATTTCATAACCAAGCACTTAAGGTGGATTTTTAAAACATGGGACATTTTTCTTCCTAACCAAATATCATTTTGACACCTGACCAAATTAACTGTAATCTCTAAATACCATCTTTAAAGTACTCTATATTCCTGTTTCTTTCTGCCAAATTATCTTTTAGAGCATTGCATCTGTTTGCATTTTCTGTTAAGATGATTTTCATTCTAGAATAGTTTTATCTCTTTACCTTTCTTTCTTTTTCTTCTTTTTTCGTTTCTTTCTTTCTTTTTTATGACAATGACTTTTTGGAGACTGGGTAAATTGTCCAATTAATTGTCTTATGGAATGTTCCATATATTCTGAATTCACCTAATTGGCATTATTTAGCTTGTTTTACTATTTTCTGTACTTTGTGTTCCCAGTGGAAATTACATCCAAACCCTTGATTAAACATTTTTTGGCAATAACACTCCATAGATGACGCATTTCTTCATATATTCATCACATCTGGAAGCACATACAGCCTGCTAGTCCTAGGACGGTGAAGCTCAATACAATCTCTGGATTAAAGTGGAATCAGATCTCATAACTCTAAAGTTGCACTTTTCCCCCTTATATTTTGCAAATAGTAAATGATGTGATACTTGAGTACCTTGTGAATATTCAGGATGCCATCCATTTTTTAATTGAGTTAGGAACCTCAGATCATCCTTGCCAGAATCAATTACAGTATTAAGGATTTTAAAATAGTAATCTCTTTAATTCTTTTTTCCTACATGATGCTTAGACATCTTGTGAGTATCCAGAATTCTATCAAACTTTTAGCTAAAGTTTTTAGTGTCCTTTTCTGAATTAGGTCGTTAGATAATTAACAATTGTAACTTTTTAAATTCTACCATTAGTTCTATTTATGTTAGCTGCGGTACTTCTACACAGCAAAAAAAAAAAATATATGTTTTTAAAAATGACAAAATCTTGAAGCTTTACACATTTTTTTTCCTTCTTAGATCTTGCCAGAAGTTCCCAGTTGCTTCCCCAAATGACTGGAAGCTCAATTCCCTTTTTATATGAAATCAGAATGTAAATGATTAAAGAAAGGCTTTTTCAAAAAAGCTTAGTCATTCAGTAATAAGTATTTTTGAGTGTCTGTTCTGTAGTATAATCCAGTCTGGAAACTCCTTTTAAGGAAAGAAAAGTGTTATTTAAGTTGCAAATCATTCCAAATTCTATCTGGCTTATAATTCCTGTTTCTCACACTTTGGAAGAAATGGATTTTTCTATCTGATAGATAGAATTATTTCTTTCCAGAAAAAGTCCATTTGATCCAAGTTCATCAAAACTATTTAATTTTATCCAAACTATTTTGAATAGTTTCTGCCAATGAGGGGCTTTAGAGATCATATGCATTCTACATAGCCTAGTTTTTAAAAACATATATTTATAAAAAATAATAGTTATTATTGTAATATATTTTATTTTGTTTTTGCACTTAACTTGAAGCAAAATTTATTCATATAAAATAATTTCTCAATAGAGGATCAAACCATACTCACATATAATGATACAATGAGAATAATTCTAGTGTGTTAGCGTGTTCACATTGACAATCTGTGACAATGTAGTTTTAGATTGGCTCATTGGTTTGTCTCTTCATAGGTTATTTAACATTAGGAAAATCATATCTTAGTGTCTTAAAATAAAAACTTATATTTATATAGTAATTTATATTCTGAAATATACTTCCACATGTATTGTGCTACCTGATCAACTGAACATGAGGACAAATGTATATTATCATCCTCAATTTACATGAAAGAAATTAAAATACCGTCCTTTTAAATTAGCATAAAACATTCTTTTTTTCTTATTATTGTATTAGAAGATTTACTGGAAGATATTGTGGTATCTTTCAAGTGCAAATGAAATTTTAGAAAATAACAATTCTTTCAAAAGAATAATGTAAATGAATCTGATGTCCTGTGCTCTTTATCAGACTGCCTCCCTTAGAATAAAATATATATATAAATTATATATAACATCATATATGTAAATTATATATATAAATTATATATAAAATTATATAATTATATAACTATATAATTATATAATTCATGTTTTACATATAACATATGTAATTTATATTATACATATAATATATAATTTATATTATATAAGGATATATAATTTATATTATATGTGATATAAATTTCATATATATACATATATATGTGTGTGTGTATATATATATATATATATATCCTTCCTTTCATTCTTCCAAACCTGCTAATATGAATAAATGAGATAATTCAAGTGAACACACTCTAAAATCTTTGAAATAACACTAAATATGAGCAATCTTTCTTACTTTAATTCAAAATCTAAAGAAATAGTGATGAATGCATGAATCATTTCAATAGTTTAGCTCTCAAAATGAAGGCCAGGACTTCTTGCCTCAGAATCACCTAGGATGGTTTTTGAAAAATGCAGAATTTCTGTCTCGTCCATAATCTACTATATTCAATACACATAGGCTCATATTTAAAGAAGCTTGAGAATGACAGAGTTATATGAAACCAACTCCATATCACTTACTTCTCTCCCACTTAACATACTAGTAGTAAATTTTGCCTAGACAATTTACTCAAAGTATGTGAGTTAACATAGCAGACACTTTTAAGAACTCAAGATGTATCCAATGAATTGCTTTTACTACACTGTAGTAGGGATAAAATACAGAAC